TATTTCTTTAACAATGAACCGATATACATCTATAAATGCAACATGAATAATCGAACTTAGTTCCAAGCTGGAAAAAAATTATTTAAAGGAGCCTTACCTTGTAAAAGCCCTTTCGATAATCTTTTCTCCAATCTTTCAGAGTTTAAAATTCCAGAGAATAGCGGAGAGAAATTCCGAAATATATTAAAAGCAGCAAATATTTATTACATTGGAAAGTGAAAAAGCAGCTGTCATCTCGCTGGTGTCCGATAATATCTCGGGATGTGGACGAGATGAATGATTGTTCACTTAGTGTATAGATCAAAAACGCCTTTTCCTTTTAATTGTTCTCAAACATTTCGGGAAATTCGTTGTTGATTTTTTTTTAAAGGATGTGTTGAAAAGTCTCGTGCCTTTTTTTCCTCTTCTAGGTCTCTATAAATAACAAAAGAGATGCAGAGATAAACACAAGCACATCAAAGGGCTGATTCCTCCACTTTCTAATAGCGGAAGAATCAATGAGAAAGATGGTTAAGATAAGGTTCCGCTCCTGTAGGACTCCTTTCCTTCCCTCAATACGGCTGAGCAGAAACTGGGAAGTGCAAGGGAGAGATGCGATCTTGCTCAGAAGTGATTTTTTTTTTTTTTTTTTTTGAGATAAGGCTTTGTTCCGCTGATGTCTCCCCAGTTCCCAGGAACACAATACTGTAACTCGGGGCTAAGCTTGCCTCTTCCTCTTCCCTCATTTACTTGTATGTTGTATAAACAGACACCTATTTCCAGTTTCAAAGTCTTTCAAGGCTTGGTTACATCTCCCACCCCCAACCCCTCCTCTCTTTACCTCGGAGCAAAATATACCTAGTCAGTGGCTTGGAGATGCTTGGAGAAAGGTTGGCGAAAAGTGAACGTCTCCCGGAGTAACAGTGACAGGGAAGCGGAGAAAGACCGGAGAGGGTGGGAGAGCCAGAGCAAAGAGGTAGAGGTGCCTGTGTGGCTTCTTGGCTCTCCTGGTACCAATTGATTCAGCCTGGAGATGGTGGAAGAGATAAAGGCTTAAGAAGGGGGATGGAATTTTTTTCCCTAAATTGATATTTAATGGGAAATCCTATTGGACAGAAACCTGGACATGAGTCACTTAATTGGACTTGACATCTGTCACAGTGTGGGAGTTTTCACAGCCCAAATATTTTAGCAGATCAGATTCCCACTGAATCTGTGCCATAAAATATAACAGTTGAAAGCAGTCCATGATAGAAACCTTAGCCTCTAAACAGAATCTCTAGCCATAATCAGACTATTTCTCTTTTTCAGATTATTGATGCAGTATTTAAGTGCAAATAAACAGCATATTGACTATGGAAAAATTCTCCTGGCTTATTATAAAACTGGTATATTTCCTTAATGTTTAGGAGAATATTTGTGTCCAGAACATGGAAATATATAGTATATATACATTCTATGCAACAGCTAACATTTCTTAGTTATCATTTACATTTTGAAAGATACTTCAACAAGGCTTGATTAAGCATATTCATCTTTTGAGACATAGGCTGCCACTGGACTAATTTTCCAATATCTGATAAAAACCTTTCAATAGATTAAGTCATTGGTGGAACTGGGAACAGAATCCAGGCATTGTAATTTCAAGGATCATTCTAAGAAACCATTCTACCTTTCTGAATATGTTTGTTTTTCTCTTCACCCACCCACTCATTCATTCAACTTAAAATATGGCATACTGCATGTGTTGATTATTGCAGTTCATTCTTGCTTGTTTTAACATGCGAATATTTAGCTGTGTGACAGTGCATTGAACCAGGATGTAAACACACACAAATCACCAGTGTATTCCAGCACATAATGCCTTTGCCTTACACGACCCCATGGCCCTGAATTTATATACCTTATAATAAAAGGGAAAATCTAGTTCAATTATTTTGCCGCTTTATAGAGATACTGTTACCATCATTTTACATATTATTTGCAATCATTTTAGCTTCTTTGATTGTGCAAGCTTAAAAGAAACAGAGTATCGTAGCCTTACCCCACATCTCCCCAATCTCTGGGGGAACATATGTGGAGAGAGGAGTCCTCACTTTCCCTGCTTGATCAATTTTGCCCAAACACAGGTTTCATCATCAGGGGAGGGAGTTGATCAGCCCACCCCTGGGAGTGACCCTTTGAGTTCCTCATGGCTGCCACCAGTCCTATTTGCCTTTGCACACATTTTTCATCCTAGGGGAGATTCCTGGACCAGAATGGAGTTGGGGGTGGGGGTGATCAGGGAGCGCCTCCACAGAAAATGGGCGCCAGCTCTTTCCAGCCTTGCCTCTGCTAGCCCCAGCGCAGAAGTATATTTACGTATCCCCAGGACATCAAAGTGGAGGCAGACCAGCCACATTCAGGTGGCAACAGAAACAGGTGAGTGGAAGAACTCCCCAAGGCAGTGAAGATGAAGAGAGAAGGGAGGTTTTCCCAGTCTGGTGAGCAGCAGCCAATGCTAAGCACTCACACATAGCCAGAAGTGTGCACACAGATGTACACCCACAGATACCTGTACTCTTCACCCCCATTACCCACACAAGCTGGCTGGCTCTATTACACCGTTACACGGTCAGACTGACAGCTTGAAAAACCTGGTGGAATCTAATTACTATAGTTCACGAGGCAGCCACTAGAGTGGGAAGCAAATGGTACCTCTGGTTACCTTGGTGTTGGGGGCAGGAAGGGGAAATGAGGGACATACCAGGGCAGGTCAGATTCTGCTATGGTGTGTGTGGATCCAGACATCTTCTTTTACATTCAGACTTTCTAATTCCACGCTTACAGACTGCGTGTGCATAGATTAATTTTCGAGTAAGCCCGTGTAAACAGGTACACACGCAGACCCATATGTAGCCATGCCTAGACACACGGTCATTGTCACACACATGGATTCACACTCACACATATGCATTGTCTCTTCCAGGAAAGCCTCCCCCTCCCCCAATGCCACTTTGCCTTTTCTAAGACCTTCCTGGCACAGATGGTCCCTCCTTCTGTGCTGCATAAGCGCTCTTTCCATCTCTCCCTTAGAGACTACATATTGTGGACGATGATTCTTGGTTTCCATGTCTGTGTCTCCACTAGGCTGTGGCACTTCAGGGGAGGTCTGTAGCTCATCCCTCAGCACTGATGTCTGAGTTTGACACATTATAAGTACTCAGTATATTTATGGTGCATGACCCCTTGTGTACAGAGGCACCCAGGGTATTTGTAACACAGAATCACTTCCACTAAAAGACACCCAGGGTTTCAGTTGTACCAATTTTCTCTCCTATAAAGGTGAGGATAATAATCCTGGTCTACTCACTTCACTGGTGGTTATGAGACTCACTGTACGTGAAAGTATTTTAGAAGATACTAAGCACCATACAAATACAGATATGGAATATTAGGAGGAATATTAAATAGTATTATTAAATCAGTGGGGAAAAAGTAAGCAGTGATTTAAAAAGTCAGACTTCCTGGCTCTATCATATGCTAGCTGTGTGAATTTACCTGAGTTACTTAGCCTTTCTGGACCTCAGTTTTCTAATCTTTAAAATGGGAATATCAAAAATATGTTACATTGTTAAATTATGTCATATGTTTTTTCCAAAGATGAGCAAGATAATCTGTGTGAAGTGCTTAAACTAATGCCTAGAACTCATGCAATAAGTATTGGCTATTAATATTGTCAACAATATTCTTGTTATTATATAATATAAATACATATTGAGAACCAGAAATATAAATGAAATTACATGAAATATAGCCATATCCAGTATACTCACAGATTGTGTGTGTGTGTTTGTATATATATATGTGCTTAGACACATGGTCGTGGTCACAAACATGGATTCACACTCACACACATGCATTCTCTCACACTTTACACATGAGCGCATTTTTATCTTCACCACAAAGCTATGAGGTAGTTTCCATTGTTGCCCCAATTTAGCATATAAGGAAACTGGGACACGGAGAAGATGGTAATCTATTCAAGCTCACATGGCTAATAAATTATGAGGGGGCCAAGATTAGACAGAAGTGGTCTAAATTCAGAAACTGAAACCACTAATATGCTGCTTCTATGGTCACGGTATCCTACACAAATAGACTCATGCAGCAGAGATTCATCAAACGAAATGCATATTCTGAGAGAAAAATATACATACACACAAAATGTATATAAATTACCACCTTTTGCATTCAAAGGTGGTCAGTGAGTCAACATGGTTTTAAATATTCACTGTGTATCGAGCGTTTTGGCAGATGCTGTTGGACAACAAAGGCTTTATAATTATTTTTTAATTCCACTAGATAGCTGTTTCCAATCTATTTGCTTAAATTTTGTACCCCATCAGTAAAAATTTTGAGCATACATATCTAGTGTATGTTTATTATTAACAAACTTTATACATGTACTACTCTACTAACATATTCTATAATTATAAAGCATACACAAAAAGACATTTTAAAATGATAAACATAAAATTAATAATATTTATCAACTAATTTTATTTATTAACGTACAAAAACCTATTAACAGCACAAAGCGTTATTGATAATATATAGTTTTTGAGGGCAATGAGCTTCATTTTATTACAGTCATTGCTTAACCATTTGTGGTACCATAATGTGATGGTCTGGTTTTGCACTCAATTTATTTAGAATCTGGTTTTCTTAGCTAACAAAGCAGAAAAAGATGTAATGCAAAAATTCAAAGTTCTAAATAGAAGTTCATCATTGATTGTGTTAACTAAATTATGATTCTCACTTTTCTATCCTATCTACCAAATATACCAAAGTTTTGTTGAAATTTGGTTAGCAAATTTCCTTCTAATGTGAATTAGTGATTATTTTTAACAAATGGGTTCAAATCCCTGAAACTGTTTATTTGGAAATTTTTTTTAACAGTTTAGAAATTTCTATTTCCAAGTGTTTTAAGTGTTCAAATATATTTTAATATGTGGCATATTTCCATTATTTGGGGCAGCAAAAATCACATAATAATAGAAAAATTTCCAAATATTTCTTTTCAAAATGCCTTCTCCATAGCACAAATTCTTTTGAAAAAGTTACCATTTAACTCTTTTAAAAATATGTACTTTTACTTTAAAAGACACATTGAGTGTGCTTGCATTTATTTTTAATCTGCTGGTAGCATACTATTGACAGCCCTTTGACATCAAAGAAAAATAAATTTGGAACACTTATCTTAAAGTTGAACAACTCTTTAAGTGCTTTGCCACGTGCTAACCAGCATATCTCTTTGCGGGACAGCAGAATTTCACGGTCTCTTCCAGTTTAATTTATTGAGTCAACGATATTTTAAAGGACTCATATTTCTAAAACTAACTACATGGGTGCTTCCTGTACACTTCTGCTTCAACTTCCTTATGGAAAATTTTTCATAGGAGTTATTTAGTGAATAAATTTTGTTTGTGATGGTATTTATTTGAGTTGAAGCAGCCATTTCCTTAGTGGTTATACCCCCATAATTTTCCATAAATCATTCTTTTATTAAAGATCATTTTAGTTGTGTGTATATCTTCTCCCATACATTTTGCCTTTAATGCCCCCTTTAAAAGGAAAGTTCTTCATGTATTTCATTATTGAAACAGAATCTATAAAGCACCAAGAGCTGAAACATGTTAAAAATAGCTGCTATTCTTTCATCCGACTAAATAGCAAACTTCCAACACTATGTAAATTGGTCTAATACTTGTTTTTTCAGATCTTCAGCAGTGTTTCTCAGGTGTCTATCAACAGAATCTGCTGACAGGAATGCATGTAGTTTCTCACCTTATTGGTTTCTGCGTACTATTTCAGCTTTTTCCTCAAGAGTGGTTGGCTTTTGCTATAAAATAAGAAACCTCAAAAAAGGCTTCTAGACTTTTATTGTTATATTTAGTGAAATGTTTAAAAGATTGAGTATGGCATGATTTTGAGCATCACTGAAAAACTTAAA